ATTCTAGCATATATTGTGAGGAAATTGAGGAGCAACATATTCCGATGGTCAAGATGCAATGAAAGTACATGATCGCCATAGATGCTACTTAGGAGAAGAAATCTGAGATGAGACAATTGTATCCAAGTTTAGACTGACTTAGTTTGGTCTGAAAATGTCGAGGATAATATTTTTTAAGGCGGGTGGACTATTAAAAATAAAAAAAAAGATGATTTTATCTATTTTAGTAAAAATTTATTTCAAGTTATATAAGTCCAACTTAAAAACTGCCGTTTTCATAGAAAAATATAATAATGATTTAATTAAACATACTATTTTTTCATAATTTTTGAGCACTAGTATAATTTCTTATGAAATTTACATATGTCAGTACAAATGGGCTTTCTAGAATCATTAGGTGTATGTTTTGTAAATCGATTTCACCCGATAATTCTAGACATGCTTAGCTAACTTTTATTTTTTATAATTTTTGGATCTCTATATTTGAAGATATAAAAAGAATTATATGAATTTTATGCTAAAATCTAGAATAATTATATTTATATTCTTTTATTAATTTATTAAAAAAATCTAATGCCACTTATATTAGTTATTAAATTCATTTATTTTCTTTCTCATTTTTGTTAACAAAGAAAAGGATGAGAAAATTTGAGAGAAAAGAGAGGAGAGAGAGAGAGAGAAAAAAAAGTTAGGTTTTGATAGTTGTAGAGTCATTTTTGTCCATCGACAAGGTTGAGAAATTTGCTCATGTTGAGGTAGGTTACTTTTTGCCTATTTCAGTTTTCAATAATTTGATATTTTTTAAGATTTTTTGATCAAATTTATATTTTCATTGCCGAAAAATGAGGATAACTTTATTTTGATAAAACTTTTACAATGTAACTTTTTATATATTATATAGATTGAGATTATAAATATTTTAAGTATATTATACAAATTTTTTACCTAGTAATTTTGGAAAAGCAGTCATTTTTACATATTCAAAAATTTATTTTGACATCTAAAAATAGTATTTTAGTTCAATTAGAGCTTTGGAATGATGTTTTACACAATCTCTATTAATTTTATAATGTTTTGAAATTATAATTTTTTTCTTAGTAGTATTTTTGTTGCCTAACATTAAGTCATCTTGGCAATTTCTGAATTTAGTACAATTATGCTTTAATTAATGAAATTCTTCAAAAATAGGAAAGAAATATGATATGATATGATATGACGTGATGTGATGTTATATTGGATCTAGTGAACGGCCGAGGTGAGATTTTATTATGCATGCACCAACGGATGACCGGTGTACTATTCTGTTATGCTATTGCCAAAGAGCAACCGAGATGGGATTCTATTATGCTAGTGCCAGTAGGCAATTGAGATAGGATTTTATTATAATGGTGCTAATGGACGATTGAGGTGAGATTTTGTTATTCAGGTACTAGCGGGTGACGAAAGGTGGGATTCTATTATACCGATGTCAGTGGGCAACTATGGTGAAATTCTATTATGTCGAAGCCGATAGGCTAACGAGGTGGGATTCTGATATGAGATATGTTAGGATGCTGGAGCCTAATGATTACTCTAAAAATTACTATAAGATATCTATTTATATTTCAATTTTAGTACAATTCATTGGTTAATTAAATGCATTTGGTATCAATATATATTTAGGTTTTAAATTTTTTTACAATACAACAGTTTATTATTACAACACAATATTTTCAGTATTTTTTATTTTAGTTATTGATTTTTATTTTAGACTGTGATTAACTACTTAGCCGTGTTAGCTCATTACTAATTTTGCTTCTATTTTCAGGCCAAGGAAAGGATAAGGAGCGAGTTGAGTAGTTTGGATAGCAGGCTCCTAACAATGTTGTAGGTATGCCTTTTGGTTTGATTATTTTTATTTATGTTGGCTTGACTTTTATTTGGTTATGTTATCTATTGCCAAGTATTGTTGTAGATACTCTAGATTGTATGCATTTTTTATGATACATAAAAGAATCATTTCGATATATGGTCTTATGCTTTATATGCATTCAATCGTGGCTCTTTGTAGTATATAAATTAAAAGTTTTATTTTCATACTTCTCCAACTAGATCTTAGGGTTAGTCTAGTCACAATCGGATACGGTATAACCTCAAAGTCATACCAGGTCAGGTTGTGACACTTGTTGGACTTTTATGCTCATTACATGATTTTTAAGATAAAGAGAAAGAGTCTGCAGCCTAATATTATGCAGTGATGATAGTTTTACTTTATTTTCAGTTCTCTAGCGTTAAGTAATCTTTTGTAACATGTCATGGCTGGTACATACTATTTTGGGATTTTAGATGTTATATTGGAATGTAAATATTAACTGTAGTAATATAATTATATTTTTTGTTGGTGTTTATAATAATTCTTCATTAATGAAATTAGTCATATATAATTGTAAAAAAATATTGATTATTAATTGAATTATAAGACTAACGATAAATGAATAAAGGGAAAAGAAATGAAATTCTTCCACTTTAAATCTCGGGGCATGATAGTTATGAACATTTTGAAAATGTTTAACTACCTCTTTTAAAGAGGAGGCCATCTATAACTACTTAGAAGTTGGTCTATAATTTTTTTTCTTAACAATTAATTCTATTTTATTTCAATTTAGCATTTCCTACATGTAAATCAATCTACACTTCAAATTTCAAAAAATTAAAAATTTCAAAGTTTCAAATTTTGAATTTTAATATTTCAAATTTTGGCAATGTCCAAATTATAAAAAAATTAAAAAATTACAAAAAATAAGCCTTTTATGATAATCAAGACACACAAGAAAATACAAAGTATGATGAAAAGTCTTTAATCATTTTTTTTCTAGGTCTTTGTTTGGCTTAAGCTTATTTGCTTACTAGTGCTCATATGATTTGTCCAATATTATCATCATGTGGTTCTCATATATGCTGCATAATTTTCCTTGAATCCTATGGAACTACTCTTGAAAGAGTGAAATGGATACGCTAAGCAATGCTTCAATGATCTTAGAGTATCTATTAGCATTGGTAATTCTCCAGATAATGTGCTTTGTAAATAATGATTTTATTTTCTTGTAAAAGATATATTATGCAAATATGAAGGTTTTCTAACTCTTTGTAAATAAAACATGCTATGTTGACGCCCACCTATAGATCCAGCAGTCCAATCAATAGCATGACGATGAACCAAACAACAGTTATGACATCACATATCAATCTATGAAAAAATATAAAAAAGTGTAGCAAATCCAGATTCTTCACTTTGTCTATGTTAATTTTGATCATATATTTTATTAAAAATATAAATATTATAGAAATTGAAAGTAAATACATAATTTCAAAACAGTATGAATAATAATTTTGATTTTTAAAATTTTAATATATCATAATCGGTATTTATCTGATTTATAAATAATTTGTAAATTTGGACAAATTAATTATGGCTAGAATTGTTTATTTTTTTGCTTTAAAATTTCTTTGCTAATCCAAACCTAGATGAAAAAAGTTGATAAAAAAATTGTCAAAATAAATTTAGGTCCCCGTTTGGACAATTCTAATTAAAATTCTATAATTTATTTATCATTCTAATTTCTTATCTGGTTTTAATTAATTTATTCTCTAATGTTTTGTCCAATGTCATCACCATAATACTCATTGTGCTACATCATAAATATAAAAGAATTACTGTCGCAATGAAATAAGATTGGGCGTAGGTCTAAACTAACTTGAACCTTCTACAAACCCGCATGAAGAAGGTACAAATTGGATTAGAACAAAATTTAAATCTAATTCCAATAATGTTAGATCAATATTGACCTGTTCGAATTAACTTGATACTTCATAGAACATTGTTCGAAACCAGTTCAACCATATTTCAGATTAGAGCTGTCAATATTGGACCCGACCCAAACCCAACCTGAAAATTTAGGGTTTGGGTTGACCCGAACCAGAAGCGGGTTGGGTTCGGGTTGACCCAGGAACCTAGGAATGACCCGAAATGACCTGGAATGAGGCTCTGACCGCACTGCCCGCCCGCCCTGCTTGCGCCCAGCCCGTGCAGCCGACTGCCTAGCTGTTCGGCGATCGCGTCCCGAGGACAGCGTCGCCGCGCGGTCCCGAGCTCACACTCCCTCACGCGAAAACTTCTATTTGAACTGTTTTAAATGAGTATATATGAGTCACAATATATATGATCTATTTTTATAATTTATTATTCTCTTAATTAAATTAATTTAATTATTGCCACCATAATGTTTTTTAGATTCACATAGAAGAAATGATTAACGACCAGATCCTTCTAAATAGGACAATCACACTTCCCTTAGGAATGATTGAATGAAACAAATTAGGGAAATTTACATGCATATCATTTTATTTCATATTATTTACATATCTAACATCAAAACATTAATATTACATGTCTATCAATCATATACAACTTTAATATCAAATATACCACTCTTATAATTCATTTATACTATTCATACCATCTCATAAAATTTAATATTTCATTCTATGCACCCAAATTTTTTCTATGGGTAGTAGATATGTAATATTAATATTTTAAATATTAGATATGCAAATAATATAAAATAAAGTAGTATGTATTTAAATCTCCAAAAAAATTATTACTTGTGGTGTCGAGACCCATCTGAAGTTTAAATGCATCACGTCACGTAATACATAATATGTGGCGCATTCAAATAAAGTTTCATTTGGGACGATTTTCTTTCTGTTTCTTAAAACGATTTTCTAGTATAAAAAGTTAACTTTTGTACTAAAAAGGTTTTAAGAAACAGAAAAAAAATCGTCTCAAATAAAACCTAAATCTTCGGACACATCTAGACACCGCACATAATAAATTCTGTTAGAAATAATAGCATAGAATTTACGAATACTCGGAGCCCACTTTGGCCCACTAGCCAATCCCGTAACCATGGTATAAATAGCGGCCCTACCCGACACCCGGCAGTGATACTTCTCAGATTATCGCCATTCTTCGTAGCTGCAGCCTGCAGCTACCGAGCTATTCGTTACGTGACCAGGGTTCGGAATGGAAGAAGAGGGCGTAGGCGGCGATCACTCAAGCTTTGTGATTGGTCTAATCGAGAATAGAGCAAAGGAGGTAAGCTTATCCTAATGCTGTCGGCATTTATCGCCTTTTTTTTGCTTCGATCACTGTTCGTCACTGCATCTCGATGTTAATGGCGAATCGATGGTGTTCTTAGCTTCTACACGAAGGTATTTAGGCGGGGAGTTCTTTTTTCTATGGTTTTCCTTACGATCCGTGGGGATAATTAGCTCGATCGTTGCTGTTTTATGATGCATGCTTTCATGCTAGGAAGGTGAAATCGTCGTCGAACTGTTAGTCGGATATTTGAGACACTAGTTGCTATTTTTAAGGGTTTTATTTTTAGATCTATGATGAGGATAAAAAGGAATAGTGACGTTTGATCATTAAGATGCCGCGTTTTTGGGTGGCGTCATCTTTGAGGCGACTCTCACTGACATCTGCATGATAGAGTATCCTTGAGGTATATGTTGGCTTTTAAATGGTGCAATGTGGTAGGAGGTTTCAGTGTTTCCTTTATCATACCGGGGGAGTAGCACATTTATGGATTGAAGGTTTTTTTTGCATATTTTTTTCTCCCAGGCTTGGCTGGATTGTTTATGGTATGTTTGTTTTTTTGTTTTGTTTTTTGTTCATACAGAAAAATTTTTGACTGTGTATTTGCTTCTTGTTTTCATAATAGGTTTTTTGAAAACAAACGAAAGCACTTCATGCTGTGTTTTTTAAAATTTCTAACATACTAATTTTTTTTCAAGAGCAATAGCTTACCAAAAAATGTTTCCTAATATTCGTAGCTATTTTTGCAAATAAAAAAAATAAACAAACAAAAAACATAACCAAACTTGCCCTTACCTTTTATTCATTCTTCAATTGAAAATTTATAATGGAATCTTCAAAACGATATTGCACTCTACATGTTCAATGGATTGAATTCAGTGTTGTTCCATAAAATCTTGGGTACATTTGGCAATAAATAGTTGTGAATCTATAGGCGAACCTTCATTTTTTTGGATTATACAATTTCAATATGCTGCACATAATTTTGTTTATGCAATATTATTAATCCGATTGCTTTGCATGTTTATAAGGCTAATCATATGTGAATCTCATTGACATATTTTCTGGTTTTAATTGCATGAGACTTAGTTTTAGTTGCTGGGAAGTATATTCACATTTTGTGGCTTTTGTGCAAAAAGAAAGATTTTTGCTATTGTATTTTGAAGATGTACTATTATTAATTGGATCTCAACATGTGTATTATTTTATCTCAAGAGTTTAATAAATTATGGAATTAATGTCATTTCATTATTGTGCTATTGGCTTCTAGTTCCATGTCAGATACAATAAATTTTGTTGATAGACGCAGATATTGAAACTTTTACACAGGTTGGTATGGCTGCTTTTGATTTGAGATCAGCATCACTGCATCTTTCTCAGTACATTGAAACTAGCTGCTCGTACCAAAACACGAAGACATTATTGTTCTTCTATGATCCCATGACAATAATAGTTCCTCCGGTTAAGCTGGCTCCAGATGGTATGGTTGGGGTCTCAGAGCTAGTGGATAAGCATTATCCATCAAATAAGAAGGTAAAGCATACCTGTAAATTTTATATTTGTCTTATTCATTTGTAATTTGGCATTCATCTGTACAGATAACAGTGTCCCGTGGCTGCTTTGATGATACCAAGGTGGGGGATTGAGATTAACCCTCTATAGTCATTACCTTGTCTGGAATCATGAAGCTATTGCTGTTTCCTAATTTTCCTGTCCAACAATCCGTTTCTTTAAGGGTACTGTGTTGGTGAGAAATCTGGCAGCTGAAGAACCATCTGCCCTGGGTTTAGATACTTACCACAAGCAATATTATCTGTGCCTAGCTGCTGCTTCCGCTACTATCAAATGGTAGGCCACAAATACTATTGCATGATGAATCTTGTTTTAAGAATAAGCACCTCTTTCCATGGTTTTGTTTTTGTTTCCTTTTAAGTGACAAAGAACTAATTTAGCATGAAATACATTCCCTTTCCTTGTCCTTTAAGTCATTTATTCTAATGACTAGCAAATGCCATTAAAAATAATACATTTGCAAGAGTACACAATGGATTCGTGTTTAAGCCTTATCACTGTGATAGATTTCTTGATATATCATGCTGAGGGCTATTCATATTTATCTAGCTACATCCGTGAGAAATTTTCTTTCCTTTTCTTGTTTTGTTGAGGTTGTTTAGTTCAATGTTACGTAGTTAATGATTTTTTTAGGTACTTTAGAAAATTAGAAATATGAAAAATTATTATGAATTTAATTATTATTATTTTTATGTAGATTGGAGGTCCTTATATGATCTTTAATCGATATTACATCGGAAAAAAATAAATGCAATATACATAAAACAAATAAAAAAAATTAAAAAGGGGCGCGAACAGCTAGGTGAAAGGAGAGGAGCACATGGATAGCAATTCAATTATTAAGAGGGAGAATATCTAATGGCTAAAATTCTCAATCAGTAACAACTAGGGGTATAAGTGGGGTGTAAGTGAGTCAAGCCGGCTCGTGAGTTGGCTTGAGCTAATGAGCTTACGAGCTGAGCTTATCAAGTCACGAGCTCGAGCTCAAACTCGAGCTGGTTGATACTCGGCTTGTGAGCTTGCGAGCCAGCTAAAAAATTATTTAATTAATTAAATTAATCAACAAGCAGTTTTTTTTATTGAAAATCAGTTTCTTCTCTATTAATTATATGACAACCTATATGACAGGTTCTCAAAAAAGAAATAAAAAATATTTTTGTTTCAGCTTATATAACAGCCTACGTGACAGGTTCTCAAAAAAGAAGTAAAAAATATTCCTTTTTTGGATTATATGACAACCTATATGACAAGCTATATTTTTTGCTAGTTATCTATAATATTTTCATTAACACAAGCTGCATAATTTCGAAATACGGGGACGAACACAGGCGGCAAAATGAGAAATTCGGCGGGAAAATTGGACATGCAAAATTTGGCATGAAATCGAGTAGCTCGCAAGCTTGTTCGAGCTCGTTTATAGTGGGACGAGCTCGACTTGAGCTCGATGATGAGCCGAACTTGCTTTCCGACTGACGAGCCGAGCTCGATAGTGCTAAAACTCGACTCGACTTGTTTACACCCCTAATAACAACAACAACATCAAGCCTTATATCCCCCTACGTAGGTTGGCTTTATGAATCTTTTTTCTACACTGTGTCCTATTAAGAGTCAAATTCTCATTTAAATCTAATAGAAAATATCATTTCTAATACTTTCTAACCAAATCTTTTTAGGTCTACCTCTACTTTTATTAAATAGGCCAAATCTAATGCATCTACTATTGTAACCGATCATCGAAAGACTAACGTTTTATGTGATTAAACCATCTAAGACAACTGTTTCAATCTTATTTGCTTCTGGTGCTACTCCAACCCTTTCACGTATATGCTCGTTTCGTATTCTGTATGTAAGAGAAAGCCACTCATCCACCTAAGCATCCTAATCTTTGCAACACTTAACTTAATTTTATTCTTCTCTTTTAATGGCCAACATTCTACGCCATAAAACATTGCATTTCTCACCACTATCTTATATAATTTTCACTCTAAATGATTTGACATTTTTTGCAATCTAAATAGTCTATTTTCTTATAAGCAAATAATATATTGGAGTTTTGTTATATCCATTCTTTTAAGTGATGAGGTGCTCCTCTTTTTTCTTAAAGAAAGTTTGGCAATTACAAAATCATAAGCTTGAGTAAAATCTAATATATTCTTGTCACATTTATGTGTTCACATTCATGTGTTGCTCCAAATTTATAGCCACCATAATTATTTTTGAAATCTTCTACCATTCTATCATGTCCATTTAAATCTCCTCAAATAAAAACTCATTCTTCAAGATATGTCATTTATATTAATTCTTCTAAATCATTTCAAAATTTAAATTTTGAACCTATTCAAATCTCCTTTAGGAGCATAAACATTTATAATAATAATAATTTTAGTATCAACAATAATATTTAAAACTATTATTCAATCTCTAATTTTATTATATATTATTATTATTTATTTAATTTTCTTGTCAGAGAGCTTATATTCAAAGTTCCTATCTTACTTCTAATTTCATGGACTATCCTTTTTGCTCACATCCGTCTTGGGAACCCTTTCTTATTTAACACTGCATTCGGATGCTGATGCAACGACTCTTATACATTTCTTGTTGTAACCATACCATATAACACATTATTTCAGGGAATATCATAACATTCACAAAATGTATTAAAGAATTCATGTCATGATTATTCGACAAGTCTTAAGTTAGCTGTCAACTACTTGATACGATCCTCCACTTAATCTGACGAGAACATGGTTTAATTAACTAAATAGTGGGACTCATAGCTCCTCTTGAAATTTTTATGGTTGTATGAAGAAGGCCGATGAGTGGGTTCCACGATGTGGGAACTTATGTGTAGGCGGGAACAAACGGTTGGACGGTTAATACATTTTCTATAATTACATATAACCGTAAAATTTAACTTGCCTCAAACATTGAAGATACACTAATGTGATGTTTGGGACTCATAGCTCCTCTTGAAATTTTTATGGTTGTATGACGAAGGCCGATGAGTGGGTTCCACGATGTGGGAACTTATGTGTCACGATCCGGCCCAGAGGCTCAAATTAAAGAGGCTGGAACAAACAGTTGGACGGTTAATACATTTTCTACAATTACATATAACCGTAAAATTTAACATGCCTTAAACATTGAAGATACACTAATGTGATGTTCCATAATCTAAATTAGAAAAATTATTCTTTTAATAAATAATAACCAGAGCTATCTAATATCATATATCAGTAATAAACAACAAAACATATTCTATAATTTAAATCATCAATGTACATATCTATATTCATTTTAAAAAATCATATACACTACTCATGATCTATACAATCATATCATAACTATTCCGTCCTGAGTACAAAAGAAAAACAAACAGAAATATAAGCTTAAGAATCCTGACCAGCCTAACACTCCTCTGCTCTGACATGAAATCATTTAACCACATATAATGAGCTTAAAAAGCCAAGCATGTTACCAAAACTTACAACTAAATTCAAAGCATGGTAAATGAGCAATATGCATGTCAACAATCAAATCATACCAGTTGCATCCATATGATCATTGAATGAGTGCAAAAATAATAAAATTTACATGCAGTAGTTGTATAATCTATAAATAGTAAAACACTATAGTATAGAAGCCAGCAAATCACTAAACCAGTACGAGTGTCTTTTTTTCACATGCAGTAAGCCAGTGAAGCAGTAAGCCTACAAGTTATCGCTACCTCGGGAGCACGAACATGTCATTACTTGAAGAAGGGAGCATCTCCCATCAGTGCCAGACCATACCGATACCCACATATTAAAAAGGAGTTCAAGAAGGTCATAAGAGAGATGCTTGAGGCATGAATTATCAGGCCTAGTGTGTCTTTTTTCCAGCCCTGTGCTACTAGTAAGAAAGAAGGACGGAAGTTAGAGGTTTTGCGTAGATTACCTGACCTTAAACAAGGAAATTGTGTTGGGCAAGTTTCTATCTCAGTAATCGATGAGTTGTTGGATGAGCTGTTTGGAGTGGTCGTTTTCTCGAAGATTGACCTGAAGTCAGGATACCATCATATCAGAATGAAGCCAAGGGATGCACCCAAGAAAACTTTCATGACTAATAAGGGTCACTACGAGTTTTTGGTGATACCTTTCAGCCTCTCCAATGCCACAGTCACTTGTCAGTCCAGAAAGTTTGTCTTGTTATTTTTTGATGACATTATAATCTATAGTCGTACGGAGGCTGAGCATATGGGTCATCTGAAGACGGTACTAGAGATGTTAAAGGAGAATCAATTATATGCCAACCTGAAGAAATGTTCGTTTGCACAACCACATGTGAAGTACTTGGGACATGTGGTGAGCAAAGCAGGGGCAGCAACAGACCAATCCAAGAGAGTGAACAGGATGAAGGATTGAGGATGATCATATCCAATTTGTTGCAGAACCCGGATAGTCATCCAGGTTATACATTGAGAGGAGTTCAGTTGCTACATCAGGGGAGATTCGTTTTACCAAGAGGATCGGGATACATTCTCACGCTGTTTCAATAGTTCACGATAGTGCAGTTGTAGGACATTCAGGAGCTCATAAAGCCTACAGTCAATTGTCAGCAAAATTATACTGGGTGGGGATGCTCCGTGATATAGAGGACTGGGTAGCCAGATGTGGTGTGTACCAAGACATAAGTACTTAGCCATGACACCAGCAGGGTTACTACAACCTCTAGCCTTGCCGGAGAGGGTGTGGGAGGAAGTGACTATGAATTTTATTGAGGGGTTGCCACTTTCGGAGGGATTTTCAGTGTTATTGGTAGTAGTGGATCGTCTGGGAAAGTGCACACACTTCACCCCTTTGAAGCATCCTTACAATGCAATCTCTGTAGCTACTATTTATTTATGAGAGTTGATACGCTTGCATGGATTTCTCTAGCCTATTGTGTCAGATAGGGATAAGGTGTTCCTTAGCCACTTTTGGAAGGAGTTTTTTCGTTTGCAGGGGACAATCCTGAAGAAAAGCACATCATACCATCCCCAGATAGATGGCCAGACAGAAGTATTTAACAGAAGCATAGAGACCTAATTGAGATGCTTTGTATTAGACATGGCAAAGAGTTGGTAAGGTGAATTAAGTGGGCAGAATATTGATACATCATCTTGTACCATTTAGCAGCAAAGACCATTCCTTTCAAGATTCTCTGTGGGAGAGATCCACCCCACCTGATTCATTATGGGCAGAGTGCTACACCCGTGTCCAGCGTTAAGCAGTACTTAGAGGAGAGGGACAAGGTATTATCTGAGCTAAAGAGAATTTGTTCAGAGCCCAACAAATCATGAAAAGTAAGACTAATGAGTACAAGAGATAAAGAAACTTCGAGCTAGGAGATATGGTTTACTTAAAATTGAGGTCCTACAGACAGAAAATACTAGCCAGAAGGAAGAATGAGAAATTATCCCTGCGGTACTTTGGGCCTTATGAGGTCATGGAGCGTATTGGAGCAGTAGCTTATCGACTGAGACTACCACCTTCATCAGCTTTGCACCCAGTTTTTTATGTCTCATAGCTGAGGAATGCAATATAAGAACATACACCATCATCTCTACCTCCGACTTCGATAGAGGACATGGATGTCATTTTGGAACCCTTGGAAGTAGCTGGTGTATGCAGAGGGGAGACAGGGGAACAAGAGGTGTTAATCAAGTGGAAAGATCTGCCTGAGCATGATGCCACATGGGAGCCATACGAGGCAATCAGGAGACAATTTCCTACCTTTTACCTTGAGGACAAGGTACATTTTTGGGAGGGAAGTATTGATATGGGAGAGTGAAATTCAGCCCTACTTGTGGGACCCATTACCTATCATTATATATGTGAGAAGAGGACTTAAAGAATGGATTAATTAGGAGATGTTTCCTAATTAAAAAGGGCTGATTTGAAGGAGATTAATTGGGATATATTTCCTAATTAAAAAAAAAGTAGATTTGGGGGTTGAATGGGAGGAGATTAATTAGGAGATATTTCTTAATTAGATATGGCTGATTTGGGGGCTGATTTGAGAGGAAATTGGGGGAGGGTATTTTGGAATTTGTTTTATTGTTTGCTATAAATAGTAGGCTTTATGTTATGTTTGTATGCAGAAATTTATTTTTAGTGCTGTAGTTCTCTTGTGTGAGTGATCCTAGTAGCGTCGGTCCTCTTGAAAGAGGTCCATTGTATCTTGCTTTGTTCGTATTTGCTTTTTTTGATACTAAGGCGCATCACCTTCTTTCTTCGACTAATATGAGAGAAAAAATCTCATTTAGTTATGAACCTTATGGTATATTTTATCCATGTAAGATTTGGACATGAGCTTGGTCAAAATCATTATTAAATTATTGCAAGGAGCTTAAACACTCTCTTTCTACAAGTTGCTGGGGAATTTCCATGTTATCGTAGTATGCCTCTTGAGAATTTAGTAATAATTTAGTTCAAGCCAATAAAAGTTAAATTACTCAATAATTAAAATGTTATTTTGGTTGTTAATGTCTTAGTTTTGTTTCATAAATGAGTTCAACATCCTACATTTTTTAGTGCATTTGTTTGACGACATCCTGAACCACTTTTGTGATGGAGAGGAACATATATGACCCACTAATTTTGAATATCATGGTATTCTACAACCATATAATGTTAAAAAATTACTGTCATGATCATGGAATCCACTTTGTACCAAAGTATAAATTTTGGATTTTTTGGCTATGAAGAAGGATCTACAAGATGATGGATTTTTTTCTTTCTTTTCTAGAAGGTTTTTATGATTTGGGACCATGTCAAATAGTTTCTGTTATTCAAGTGATGTGAGGCTTGTAGCTTGAGAAGTTCACCGTAGTCTGACTTTCATCATTCATGATGGTTGACTCATTAGAAGTCAAAGAAACTAAAAATAATTGATGTAGAACGAGAAGGAAAAAAAATGGGACATTTGAGATTTGAATTTCTTGCTTTAATTGAGATCAAAATTTTATGAATAATTAAATCAAATCAAATCCAATTAGAAATCTAATTTGATTTAATTTAAGTAACTTTCCTAAAAAAAGCTATCTTAAATTAGGAAAGTATTTCAAATTCAAAATTACTTAGAATTTGAAATCAAATATTTTCCTAACTTAAATCGTTTGATAAAAGGAAAGTAATCAAAGTGGAATTCAAATTTTGGAGACAGAGGGGGGGGGGGTGTTTGAGGTGGAGCTAAGACCGTGGGGAGGGAGAAGGGGAGGCCGGTTTTGTGGAAGTGGGGGGTTTATGGGAGAATCGGCCGGTGGAAAGTGGGTGATTTTGGCCGGTGGTCAAGGGAGGAGGAGAAAAAGTTTTAGGGAAAGAAAGATACAACTGCGAGCCCGAACATATCCTGCAGCTGATGGGTATTATGTTGCCATTCACCAAGGGACTTCAGGCCACGAGCCCAGACACATCTTCCAGCTGGCGGAAGCTACGAATTCCTCCCATAGGAATTTCACCCAAGGTTCTTTCCAAAGAACACAAGTGCAAACACCAAATTTTATTAATCATCCAATATTACATTACACAAGCAAGAGCCTCTATATATATAGGTCTAAGAAACTAAAACAAAACATATATGCCCCTAGGTCTTACATAGGACGACCAGCTTAAGTAAGGGTAAAAATGGAAAATTCATAATAAAAATAAAAATTACAAATAACAAATTAAGATAAGGTGGAATGATCTCGGTCGTCGATCGTCGTCTCTTTCTTTGAAAATCTTCTTGATCGGATGTCTGCACCACGGGTAACAATGCTCTGATACCAAACTAATGTAAAACGAGAAGGAAAAAAAAATGGGACATTTGAGATTTGAATTTCTTGATTTAATTGAGATCAAAATATTAAGAATAATTAAGTCAAATCAAATTCAATTAGAAACCTAATTTGATTTAATTTAACTTTCCTAAAAAAAGCTATCTTAAATTAGGAAAGTATTTCAAATTCAAATTACTTAGAATTTGAAATCAAATATTTTCCTAACTTAAATTTTTTGATAAAAGAAAAGTAATCAAAGGGGAATTCAAATTTTGGAAATAAATAGGAAGAAGGGGGGAAAGGGCCGACGACATTAAAAGGGGGAGGAGAAGTTATGGAAAGAGAATTAAAAAGGACTTTGATTGGAACTTTAAATTAGGGAGTAATATTTAAATCACATCCAATTAAATAATTAATTGGACCTAATTTAAATACTTTCCTAAAATAAGAAAACTAATTTTAGAAACATAATTCAAATTCAAATTAATTTGAATTTTAAGTTTCAATTTGTTACTAAGTTAGAAGGGCTAAAATAGGAAAGGACTTTGAATATGAAGGGAGATTTGTGGAGCCAAGGGGAAAGAAGGTGGCCGACGGTTTGGTGAGACTGGCGGCTAGGGATGTTGGGGGGAGCTAAGACCGGTGAGAGGGAGAAGGGGAGACTGGTTTTGTGGAAGTGGAGGGGTTTATGGGAGAATCGGCCGGTGGAAAGTGGGGGATTTTGGCCGGCAGTCAAGGGGGGAGGAGAAAAAGATTTAGGGAAAGAAAGATACAATCGCGAGCCAGGCCGGACACATCCTGTAGCTGACGGGTACTATATTGCCCTTCACCAAGGGACTTCAGGCCACGAGCCTTGACACATCTTGCGGCTGGCAGAAGCTACGAATTCCTCCCATAGGAATCTCACCCAAGGTTCTTTCCAAAGAACACAAGTGCAAACACAAAATTTTATTAATCATCCAATATTATATTACGCAAATAAGGACCTCTATATATAGGCCTAAGAAACTAAAACATGACACATATGGCCCTAGGGCTTACATAGGACGACCACTTAAGTAAGGGTAAAAATAGAAAATTCATAATAAAAATAAAAATTACAAATAACAAATTAAAGATAAGGTGGAATGATTTGGGCCGTCGATCGTTGTCTACTCCTTTGAAAATCTTCATGATCGGATGTCCACATTAATAATGAAGGGAAGTGTCTTGACAAAAAAGAAAGAGAACAAATATTGGAAGAAGGAAACCGTAAACTCACTCTAATACTATGTAGAAAATAAAAAATGATATTTTAAATTTTATTGTTTGATTCTGTACAAAATTTGGAAGTATAGATAGACTAATCTAAAAGTCTTAACAATGGAAATTAATCAAAATTATTTTCAAAAAATGAAAAAAATCTTAAGAGGAGCTGACAACTAGAAGAGGAAGAAGGGACACGGGTTGCAATCTAAAGTTTAATCGGATCAATTCAATAATTAAAATTCTTAATCTATGTGATTAAGAACTCAGTAATAAGATTGGCTTACTTATGTGTCTCATGACCATTCGACAAATTTCATAACGAAGGATAATAAAAGGCTTAATTGCAAAAATTTTGTTGTTGTACTTGAACATAGTCTTTATGCACGAGTGAAATTCAGGCTGGAATTTTATCAGAAGGCATGTAAACAGCTTAAAATTATCTTCTTTTAAGCTCAAACATCTTTCTCAATTTGTTATGTATTATTTTTTCTCATGCAAGTGCTCTTAAAACTCTTTTCTTCAGGAATTAAACTGTATTTTTCTTTTGTATATTTCAGAGACATAATAATCATTTGCTATTTCTAAAATTTAATACTTTCTTTATATCTCTTTTAAGATCATTTGTTTCTAGAAATGGTCCTTTTGTTTTTGCAATTGTTTTTCTTTGTTTTGTGTGGTCAAATTAATGCGTTTTCCCTGCATCCCAAGTTATTCTTGCATGACACAAAATTCAATTTCGAAAACTGGTTAATTTCTTTTGAAATTTATCACATAAATAGGATCGAAGAAGAGAAGGGTGTTATTGTGACAAATCACTCGTTGTCAGTATGTAGCCCTTCTTTTGTTTTATTTCCACAGCTTATCTTTTTTTTTGTATTTGCTTCTATTTATTTTATGGCCTTTGAACTACATTAATTTTCAACTTATCTATTTTTTGCTTCTACTGCCCTCTTTTTACATATCTTTTTTTTTCCTTGTATCTAAGGAGTGGAGCCTTAGCAGGGTAATTGGATTAATAATTAAGACCACTAATTAAAAAATCAATAATGAAAATACACAGAATCCAAACAATTGATAATTTAATGATATTTTGATTTTAGAAATTTTTTGAGAATTTGAAAACATATAAATTCAAGAGTCAAAATTTAAGTCGCAAAAAAAGAAAAAAGAAAAAAAAAAAGTGCAACAATTTTGACTAAAATTATTCAAATTTGCAAAAAATCAATCACAAAATAAGAAAGCAAAAAATCAGGGTAAGTGTTAGCACACCTGAACCAAATCGATAAGGATGCGGCTCAAAGGTGAAGACCACTTGCTTTGCTACAGACGCCACATCCTCTGCCATTCCAGACTGCCACAAACAGCCACAGACAATCTCCTGTCTACCTTTTCGCGCGCATTTCATATTCTATATATACTAGGCTCATGTACAAACTGATGTTATGCTTTTATACGCTCAAGTAATATGCTATAGTAAAAGCTCATTCTCTGCTTTATCTTCTTCCTTATTTTTAATTTCTAGTGTTAGCGTTTCTTCATGGTATTAGAGCATTGAGTTTCGCCGCTCTTCTTCTTCTTCTTCTTGAAATGACCGATCAAGACTCTACCCATGCTATCTCTCCGTCATCTTCCCTATTTGCATCAATGGCAGAGTTCACCATTCCTGCTCCTTTGAAGTTTTTCACGTCCAATCTTAAACTCATAGTAAATCTACAGCTCACAAATGAGAACTATGCCATTTTAAGTTTACATATTTACAAACTTTTTTTGGCTAATGTATTTGAAGTCTACCTCAGTGGACATCAAGCCTGTCCCAATGTACCCTCTGCTCACCCCGACTACCACCTATGTCTGCCCTTCTCTCCACGATCTCCCCGTCGGTTCTGCCATGCATTCTTCACTTATCCTCTGCCAAAGATATTTGGCTTACCTTGGTGAATCGACTTCAGCCTACAAACCGATCACGAGTTATCGAGCTGAAAAATAAACTTCACAACATACAAATGAAGGCAACACCATGACTCAATATCTTGCTCAAATCAAAACCCTGGTGGACAACATTACTGCTACCGGCTTACACGTCGACTCCGAGGAAATCATACTCTACATCTTGAATGGATTGCCGTCCACCTACAACTCCTTCAAAACGTCCATCCGCACCTCTCTTCAACCCATTAGCCTCGACGTTCTATATTCACTACTTTGCAGCGAAGAGATAAACCTTCAACGCGAGTCTCAAAAGGACCTCAATACCTTATTGGATCAGTTAGCTCTCTACTCTAGTCAACCAAGGTCTTCACGTGACAGGCCTAGTTCTTTAAATCGTGGTTGCGAAGCATCTCGTCTGCCTCTCAACGCTACACGCTCTTCGCCTGCGAACATCTCTCGCCCAATCTACCAGATATGTGGAAAAATAGGACATGCAGTATCACATGTTGGCATAGGTGTAACCCTCAGTAATTGGCTCCCCCCCTCCACTAGCCAATCTGATACTTTACTTTCATAGCCTCAAAACACTGTTACAACTGAATGGGTCCTCAACACTGGAGCTTCATCTCATTTGACAGCTGATTCTCACAACCTTTAGCAGCCCACGCCATACTTTGGTTCAGACTCCTTTTCAATCGCCAATGAAAGCTCTTTACCCATTCAACACCACAAGGCATTCTTCCTCTCCCTACACTCATTGTAAGCTTCTACTTTAAAATCTCCTACATGTCCCTTCTTTATCTCACAACTTACTTTCCATTCACAAGTTGGCCACAAATAACAACTGCTCTTTCACTTTTGATGCTCACCGTTTCATAAGTCAGGATCTAGCATACCATCAAATTCTTCTGCGTGGCAAAATCCGCGACGACCTCTACTCTATCTCCACCACCAATAACCTTCCAACCTATGCGCTTCACTCCAAAATCGACGACTCCCTGTGGCATGGTCGTCTCAGTCATCCTCACAATTGTGTCATACACACATTAGCTAATCTTATGCTATCTATATGTATTTCCTCTAGTTTTCCTTTATAGAAATCATGGTAATATGGCTAAATGCTATAAGTTATCTTTCAATTCAAATACAACAAATGTTACATCTCCATTTACTTTAATTCACTCTGTTGTCTTGGGTTCCTCTCTGGCTCTCTCCATTAACGGCTACAAATACTACGTCATCTTCGTTGATACTTACTCACTTTATTGTTGGCTTTATCTAATGCATTCCAAGGACCAAAGACTCTCAAAATTCATACAATTCCATAAAATGATACAAAATAACTTTAACACCACCATCAAAACATTTCGCTCTGATGGTGGTGGAGAATTCACAAGCAAATTTTTTTAAAATTTCTTATTGACAATAAAATATCCCATCAATTCTGCTATCCATATACCCCCGAACAAGACGATATGGCTGAACGTAAACATCGCCATCTTTTGGACACCACACGAACGCTTTCTTCGTGCTGTCAATCTACCCTCACACTTCTGGGCTGAAGTTTTTCTCACATCAAATTACCTCATTAATCAACTACGCTCCAAATCTTGCAACAATCAAATTCCCTTCCATCTCATTCATGGTCATCTTCCCTCTTATGACCACCTCAAGACTTTCGGTTGTCTTTGCTTACCTTGGCTCTGATCGCTTCAAAAAAACTTCAACCACGATCTCAAGAATCTTTATTCCTCGGTTACTCTTCCTCTCATAAGGGCTATCATTGCTACAATCTCCAAACTCATAAAATATATATCTCTCTACATGTTGTCTTTCACGAACAATACTTCCCTTACCATTCTCCTCCCTCACTGTCCCAATCTCCCTCACCAAACTACTGCTTCAACCCTCACTACATCCTCTCAGCAATCAATACCTATACAACAACCCCCTCCTATATCAGTAATGTACAATCCACTTCTCCTCCACCCCTCACTCTAGAACCCAAAATAACTCACCACCTAATGCAAACCCGCTTCAAAACCGGCCACCTAAAACTAAAACCCATCTTCGATCTCTCTGTTGTAAATCAATCAAACTCCAAACCATCCACTTACAAGCAAGTTGTCCAAAGTTACTCTTGGTGTCAAGCTATGTCCAAAGTGTTCCTAGCTCTTCAGAAACAAGGGACTTGGTCTTACTCCACCTCCACCTAACACCTCCATTCTTCGTTGCCGTTGGAATTTTAAAATCAAGCTCCGACCTGATGGTCAAGTAGAGACCCACAAAGCTCGCTTAGTTGCTCAAGGCTTCACTCAAGAGTACGATATTAACTGTAAGGTGACCTTTAGTCCTGTCACAAAGATGCCTACCATTCACATCTTACTTATAATTGCAAATCAATGCCAATGGCCCATCATACAATTCGACATATCCAATGCCTTCCTACATGACGATCTCCTTGAAGACGTCTACATGAAACAACCACCTGGCTTCATCAATCCTTAATTACCAACCTATGTTTGCAAGCTCCACAAATCTTTATATGGACTCAAACAGGCTCCACGGCAATGGTTCACCAAGTTCACTACCGTCTTCATTCAATTTGGATTCATCTTCAGCAAGTCGGACCCCTCCCTACTCCTCTACTCACACGGTGTAGTTACAGCTATATCTACTCCGCTACGTAGACGACCTGCTTCTCACAGGAAACAATCAAGACATCATTTAGCTGCTCATTCGCAAACTACAGTCAGAATTATCTCTTAAGCAGCTCGGTTTAGTCTCTACTTTTCTCAGCATTCAGGCCTAGCACACTACAACAGGGTTATTCCTACACCAGTCACACTATTCCCATGAGTTACTTCAATCTGCATGCTTCTCCACCTACAAACCGACATCAACTTCATAGCTTTTAAACCATCCAAGTGCCCTCAAGTTGATGAACCATTCACCAACCCCAGATTATTTCGCCAGCTCACGGGATCACTCCAATACCTTACCACAGACCTGACATCGCATTCGCGACAAATTACATTTGCCAACATATGCATAATCCCACCAACCAACACTACCAGTCCCTCAAACGCCTGCTCAGATACATCAAAGGTAAGCAACACTTCGACCTTCCTTTTACTTATACCGATCTTTAACTTCAAACATTTGTGAATGCGGACTTGGGCAGATGATCACAGTGACCAGAAATCAATAAATTTTTTTTGCTCATTTTTTGGCAAAAATATTATCTCATGGAAAGTCAAAAAGCAAGCCACGGTCGCCAAATCTTCCATCGAACCTAAATACTGCGCTCTATCCTCTGATACCTCTGACATGCTCTAGCTCCGCTGTCTAGTAGTTGTATTTTAGGAGGAACAAAGTAGTATAACTCCAATCCACTGTGACGACATTTCGGCTATGGCCCTTGCCCATAATCCCATCTTCCACGGTCGCACTAAACATATTGAGATTGACTACCATTTCATCAGCGAGCGCATCAAACACAATGTTGTCTCTATTCATCACATCAGCTCACTTGACCAACCGGCTAATATCTTGACAAAACCACTACCCCCAACCAGATTTCATCAGCTCAGAACCAAGTTAAGCCTCCAATCTCTTTATGCTCAACTTGAAGGGGGCTGTTAGCACACCTGAACCAAACCAGTAAAGATGCGGCTCAACTGTGAGGACCACCTGCTCTGCTACATACCACATCCTCTGCCATTCCAGACTGCCATCAACGGCCACTGACAATCTGATCTCTACCTTTTCACATGTCATATTCTATATATACTAGACTCATGTGCAAACTGATGTTATGCTTTTCTACTCTTAAGTAATATGCTACAGTAAAAGCTCATTCTCTCCTTCATCTTCTTCCTTTTGTTTAATTGTTACTGTTAACCTTTCTTCAGTAAGAAGTTACCAAGTAAAATATCCAAGCAGAAACAAAAATAACTTCTGAAACTGATAATTAACCCTTACACCATACTTGATGAATTCAATATCCAAAAGAATTACAAGTTTGAAAGTATCCGCAAATTTTATCAAGCCAAAAACTGAAAATTATATGCTTTTTATTTTGTAGTTTTGGACATCGATTCCCTCAATTGTTAGTCTTTGGATTGTCCCAAAATAAATTAATCACAAATTATGTAGAAAAAATCATGATCAATTGACACGTAGAGACTTCTCTAAGCAGTGGAATCACATGAAGGAACAACGACATAACAAGAACAAATATAAACACTAGTGTATAAGCATTAATAATATCACTAGTGAACAAACACAGGCAGATTGGGGTTAAGAACAACTGAATAATGATAAATCATGTGAATACTGAGAATCCGAGAACCAACAAGTGAATTAACCAGTAAAATACCAGAAAACAAATCAACCAAATAAATTGGACCAGAACAAGGGAATTTGACCATTTGAGAATACATTCCATGTCACACCCATTTGACCCCCATTTAATCAACCTGGAGTGTAACAAATAAGAAGAATTCAAATAGATATATCTCTTACTAACACTCATCCTGAATTATTCTATCAAAATCGGGTGTGTATGAAATAATCTATTCAGACTATCCCCAACACAACAAATTTTTTATTTTTCTACAAATTTCATATTTGAAAGTATATTCATAACACATCAAATGAAGCATAGAGCTTACTAAACTTTCAAATAAAATTTACATATCCAAAAACTTCAATGTATAGCTTCCTACTCTATCTTTTATATACACCAAAAATTTATGTACACAAAATAAGTAACCTAGTTGCAATTCGGGATCCCGAACTTATGATTTTAATGATAACAAATATTATTGGATTTTTTACTTTATTTATTGTAGTATTTTTATTGCATATTTCTCTTGTATGAACTAATATTTCAGGTACGTCGTACACCATGCATCAATAGAGGATCAAGACTGACTAGAATATGTTTGATATTTGCAAGAGCTTGTTTTTCTGCTTATTTATTTTTATTTTTGCACTTTTACTTCTGATAGAGATACTAGATTTTTGAGTCATTTTTGGAGAACACTTTGGGCAAAATTAGGAACTACTCTTCAGTTTAGCAGTGCATATCATTCACAAACTGACGGACAAACTGAAGTTATAAATCGAAGTTTGGGAAACTTGTTGAGATGCCTGACAGGTGAGAAACCATCCCAATGGGATTTGATTTTGCCCCAAGATGAATTTGCTTACAATAATTTTGTTAATCGTTCCACTGGTAAAACTCCATTCGATTTCATTTATGGCCATCCTATACCTCACATTTTAGATAGAAACTGTTTGTCTTTGCCAAATAAAATTAGTCTTGAAGCTTCTGAAACCTCTGACCATATTAAATCTGTCCAACAACAAGTTTTTGAAAAACTCCGAATGGCTAATGTGAAATACAAAACTGATGCTGACAAACATCGTAGAGAAGTTTATTTCAAAGAAGGAGCTTTGGTTATGGCTTACTTTCGTCGCCAAAGATTTCTTGTTGGTACTTTTGGGAAATTAAGCAGGAAGAAATTTGGGCCATTTCGTGTCCTTAAAAAATTGTGCTCAAATGCTTATCTTTTGGATCTTCCTTCTACTGTTGGCACTTCTCATGTGTTTAATGTTTATGACCTCTCTTTATATGAAGGAAATTCTGAAGATCATATGGAAATTGAAACTTTACCACTCTCCACATTTGTTTTGAGTTATGATGAACAGGTTGAAGATATTATGGATGTCAAATCTACTAAAACTCTGCATGGTGAACACATGAAGTTCTCGGCAAAATGGAAAAATCGCCCTTTGACAGACTGTACTTGGATGGATGCAAAAGAGCTTGAAAGCATCATCCAGAGCTTTATAAAAGAGTTGTGGAAACTTTCTCATTAGGAGATGAGATTTTTCCACCAGGGGGGAATTAATGCATTCATATTTTTAGTTTATTTTTGTTTTAATATATTTTGAACAATGTTAGTTGTGTTTTATGTTTTTTTAAGCTATCTTATGATTGTTGGGCATCCAATGATCATGGTAGGAAATTGCTAGGCATGGCAAGCCTTGGGTTTGCTTGCTCTTGGGTCCATTTTGTCCTTGGGCTGCTTGCTGTTTTCGGTTTGGTGATGTTACTGCTCTCGGGTGAGCCTTGGTTAATTGGTGTTGAGCTCAAAATTCTGAATTCTACTTGGTGTTAGCTAATAAATGTTTGACCTAAAGTTTAGATCAATGATTGGGGAATAAATGCACTTCCTAACTCATTAAATAAAAAAGGTATGCTATTATTTCAAGCTCATTATTGTGGAGTGGACTTGTGCCTCTTCCCCTTCCTTTGCCTCTTCGGTTTTTGTTGCTGTTCCCCTGGTTCTCCCTCTCGGTTTTCCACTCCTGGCTGCTTTTCCCGTGAACTGTTGCCTTGTCTCCTGTGCTGGCTTTTCGGGTCCCTTGCTGGCTGGTTTCTTGTGGCCTGCTGGTGGGTTTTCCATGGATTGTTCCCTGTTTTTCTGTGCAGAATTTCTGCTACAGTTTTGCTGTCTTTTGACCTTTCATTTGGTGACTTTTGGCCTTTCATTTCCCTCAATTTGATTGGATTTGGTTGAAGGTGTTATGGCTATTTGTCTACCTTCTTTTGCCTATAAAATAGAGTTGTTTTGGGATGGAAAAGGTTATTGAAAAAAGCTGAGTAAAAACTCTACAAAAACATGAGGGTTTCTCCTTGGAAAAGCTTGAGAGCTTGTTCCACTCCCCTTTTCCTCCTCTCTAATTCCTCTTGACTTCTAACCTCTTCTTCTCTACGCAAGTTCCACTCCATATGTATTCTTCTTCTTGAGCTTTGGAAGTTGTATGTTGGCTGAAATTTAGAGACATTTGCCGGAGGAGTTTGGTAGGACGTTGGACTCATTTGCAGTGGTGGACCCTCGGTTTGCAAGCCTAAGCACAATTTTATTATATTTTCCTACTCTCGTTGCATGTGAGGAAACCGCTAGACGGTTATACTGAGGATAACATTTTTATGATTTTATTTTGTTTCGTTTGATTTGGCTTTTGTTTCTTCGGACGTTTGTTTGGTTGTTTGCAAGCTATAGTTGAATCGAGTTTGGTTTATATTTTGTCCTGGCGTTCTCCAGTTTGTCTCTTCTGTCTAGTTTGCTTGCATCAAATATATAAAATTTACTGCTTTGTTAACCACTTGGTTGTCCTTACCAAGATTTTTTTTTTCCAATAGTTTCTATAAAATAGTTGGTAATTTGCTAAAATTATTTTTTAATTTGTTTTTTAAGGTTGTCTTTAGTTCAATCTTCCAAGGTGTTTTTTTAACCCTTTTTTCTTACTCTTTATAAAATTTACATTTCTCTTCTTTTGTTTTAATTTCATTTACTACTGGTGCAGTTATATATGTTGAGTCATCGTAGTTTTTTTTTTTTTTGAATGTTAGTTGACAGAAAGTTTATGAATGTAAGTTTGGAAATGCTTCATTTTTCGTGGGTACTGTATAATTTCTCCGAATTGAAGGCTTAGCATGCCATTTCAGGTTACATTTAATGGCTCATTTGATCACATGAATATTGATGCTACGAGGTACTATTTGTTTTCGTGATAAATTCTTCCATTTCAAAAAGAAAATATTTTTTTTTTCTGGAAGCTTAAAGAACTTGTTAAGCCTATTCAATGCATTGAAGTGTCCACAACTTGGAAATAATTGAGCCGTTATGCTCTGGAGTTTGGGGGACTAGCAACAAGAAAAAAAGTCTCTTCCAAATATTGAAAACGACAAAAACTGTTGGAGGGTATGCCTTATTTTCTCCTGACAATAATAGAGAATAAAGTTTTTAATTGCTTTCAATATTAATGCGCTTTTGCTAGTGTATTGAAGGGAGTATTTAAATACTGATATCATAGATGCTGTAGCAATGAGTTATTGAAAAATTCCACACTTTTATTTATTTATTTATTTTTTATAGAATAACTAGTGGTTTATACTTGAAATAAGTGCTTTCATTTGACTTTTGGAGATGAGAAACTGAAACAATCATTAATACCCGAGTTGAATGCGAATTGAATAAGAATATTAGGATGTATGTTCGTTGAAATTGGGAAGGATAGAGTGAGAAAGGACTATTTGAGAGGGATTGTACTAGGATCTATTTTAGATATTTTACACTCAACTTTTGTGGGTAGATGTAATTGTTGTTAAAAAACCCGGGAGAAGAGAAGGGGGTGTAGAACATAGATAGCATGGCTATAAGTTGTGCAAATGAGTTGGACGAATTTGAGTTAACACTTCATTTTTTACTTACCGGGAATGAGAGGTGGATTCACAAATACAACTCCAGCAGTTGAATAAGGCTAATGATGATGCCGATGATGATTTTTAAGGCTTAAATTGCATATTTATACTTTATAAGGTTGTGTAAGGGAGATTCGCATGCAGTTCATGCTATTTTGAAAACTAAACCTATCTTTTTCGTCTCAGTAGCGTTTGTGAGGTTTACAATTTGATAGCAGTCAGTGTTATTTGATGGTTTGACTGTTCATCCGCCTGGATGGGTTTATCAAATCAAGCATTGCACTTGTTGATTCTATAAACCTTGTGTACCTAGGATTGATGCTTGTTTATGGGGATAATTTTAAGTTGATCTTACCTAAAGAAAAACTGTGCTATCAAGCTTATGATTTATCACTCAAGAATTTAAGTTATTGGAGAACTTACGGGTTCTTGCGATCTTAATTTAATGGTGTCATTTTGCAGTGAACAATTCGATTAGAGGGTCATGGTTCTAATTATATTTTTGTGATAAAATCACCCTATCACAGGACACATGCGATGTCTTTACTAGTGTGAGATCTTTTCAGAGTGATTATTACAATAAGTTTGATATGATATTACCTCCTTGTGGGCTTATGTTAAGTTTAAATTTGTTGCCCTCAGTAAATTATTATGGAGGGCGAAGGGATTGTTTCTTTAAGCTTATTAGGGCGATTAATTTATCTTGAATATTTTTAGTTTTGTATTTAATTTTTGAGTTTTTTGCAGTTTTATTTATATTTGCACTCGAAATGTCTTATATCAGGATTTTGGGCATTCAAATAATATTATCCCCTCCGGTTGAGATTTTTATTAATGCGTCCATCATCAAGGTGTCCATCATCAAGGTGTTAGTCTCATCTACTCCTGTCCTTGTGAGGGGGATTAGATTTTGAAATAGGCTTGCAACTCAACCTTATAGGCATGGGAATTCGCTTAAGTGTATGCATATTTGTCAAGTTTGAATTTGAATTTTATAAAAGAGTTACATTTTCAAAATAATTGCAAGTCATTCTTCTTGGAATAAGAGACTAAGTTCATTGTTATTTTTAGTTGGCATAGCATTCTCAGACTTGTTTGTTAGAGGATATGCTGACATGCCTAATTTTAAAAACTTGAGCATAATTAAGAGAACACACATACTTTTCAAGGTACTTGCATGAATTTTAAGGCATTGCTTTTGTTTTATATATATCCAGTTGTTAAAAATTGCCTTTTGGTTGCTTACATATATGTAATGTGGATTTGGTGATGAGATGGACGAGTTAGATTCTATTTCATTTTTTAAAATTGTTGACCTGATGAAAATCCCGCATACATACCTGTAGACCGATGGATCCACGATTTCTGCCAGAATCCCTGCCAAAATTCCGCGAAGGAACTATAGATTCGGCGCCGTTCACGTCTGTCTCCGCGATTCCTGTAGGGATCCCATCGAAGAGTACTCATTTTGCGTCGTTAAATAGGAGCCGAAGGCTCTTCTTCTCGGCTGCTCGACACAACTCTCCTCTCCCGTTCGCTACCCACACGACCTCTTCCCTCATTTCCCGTCACTGTGCCGACGCATCTTCCGATCTCTTTGAACCAGAGAGAGAGAGAGAGAGAGAGAGAGCACCAACCTCTTGAAGCCCTAGACCCGGCCGAACTCCTTCCTGCCGTCCGATTCCCTAACCGACGCTTCCTCTCTGTTAGGATCGGAAGTTACAACATTTTGATCGGGAGTAACAACGGGAGCCTGCTAGCTGAGAAGGTAACTTTTTCCCTCAAGCATGCTTCTTCGGCCAAGCCCAGTAAATCTACCAAACTGTAGAGAGGGGAGGGAGTGATTTATTAGTTTTTTATTATTATTATAATTATTTAATTAATTATATTTGCTATAATTAATTAGATTTAATTTTAATTAAATGGTTATAATTAATTAGATTTAATCTTCTCGGCTGCTCGACACAACTCTCCTCTCCCGTTCGCTACCCTCCCTCATTTCCCGTCACTGTGCCGACGCATCTTCCGATCTCTTTGAACCAGAGAGAGAGAGAGAGAGAGAGAGAGCATCAACCTCTTGAAGCCCTAGACCCGGCCGAACTCCTCCCTGCCGTCCGACTCCCTAACCGATGCTTCCTCTCTGTTAGGATCGAAAGTTACAACATTTTGATCGGGAGTAACAACGGGAGCCCGTTAGCTGAGAAGGTAACTTTCTCCCTCAAGCGTGCTTCTTCGGCCAAGCCCAGTAAATCTACCAAACTGTAGAGAGGGGAGGGAGTGATTTATTAGTTTTTTATTATTATTATAATTATTTAATTAATTATATTTGCTATAATTAATTAGATTTAATTTTAATTAAATGGTTATAATTAATTTTAATTAATTTTAATTAATTAGCATTGGGGAGCGCAAATTCTCAATAGCTCAATCTGAAGCCTTAGAATGGGTGTGAGAGGTCCGAGGCTAAATACTCCACACAAACAAGCCCAATATCGGTCCGGATCGGCTGCTAAGCTCTACTCCATAACAAGCCCATAGATTAAGAAAGAGCAGTGAAGTAGACGAGCTACCCCCATCTCCAGCAACCCAGAGGACAAAGAGCTGTCAAATTCTAGCTCACACTCAGAGATCTGATGAACACTCAAGTTGACCACTGCCAGAATACCTACAAAGTCTTCCTCTAGTTGTAGTCTGAAGACTCTATAGATAACCACTACGTTCGGTACTATCCGAACTAAATTCAAAACTGTAAATTCCTTCATCAGTCCGTTATTATATTTGTCGTCATGAAAAGACGCTTGCAGAAGAAAATTAATCCCACGTTCAACCAAGCCCAAGGCTGAAATGAAAGTATCTACTTTCATTAACAAGCTTCGTTAAGCATGCACAAGCCTTAGGACAGCGATGACCTCTCTCTGCTCATCTCGACCTACGTACATACCTAAGGGTTTTAGGTCAACCAGCATCTACCTCTGTCACTCACATGAAACGCCGCAAAGCTAGAAGTCAAGGGAAAAAGGCATACAAATTTTCTGAGCAAAGCTATACACCCATAATAGACAAAATCAGACGTCTCTGTTCACGACAAGTCTGCAGCACTAAGCACAAGGACTGAAGGATCAAAATCTCAGGACTCAGGCCAAAGTGCTGCAGAAGGAGCACCCTGGATGACAATTACAAATGTCTTCTAAAAGGCTGGGGGCAATTTTTAAATAATTTATTTGGGGTCGACATCGTGCTTTGCATGCCGAGATCCCCAAATAAATATTTAATTTCATCAAAATACAATAAGTAATGATAGAAGAATATTGAGGCATGATAAATATCCGCCACTAGCATCCATCCTACAAAGATAAGATACAACCGTTCCATGGGACATGTCTAAAGAGCAGTGGAGAAAGAAATTAGTGTGAACATGCCAAATAAATTTTTGGAGATTCACTAAATAAAAATCCTAGTGTGACATACGAAACGAGCTTTTGGAGATCACTGAAATAAAATATTAGTGTGACATCCAAAGGAGCTCATTGGAGAATCTACAACTACACTGTGCGTAACAATCGAACAGGCTACATCGCGATGTGCAAATGAACACCCTAGTGTGACATCCAAATCAGGCTTATCTTGAGAGAATCTCGCTATAGATAGGACCTCTGTGTGTGAACATCTAGAAACAAATACGATTCTGGAGTGAGCGCATAGGGTCAATCAGCATACACACAAACGTGCGTTCGCTCTAGGGACGCAGTATCCACATTTGGTATGGGACTGAGGGGCAAATTTGTTTGACTCCTCACTTTATCATCAAAGACACGCGAGAAAGGACTCAAAACCTGATAAAGTAAAATGAGTAATATGTCGCACTTGATAGAAACCACGTCACTTAAGGGGTTTAAATAACCTCCAAATGCCAAACGGATGGTTCTTTGCGATACAAAGGAGCACTTGAATTCTGCCTAGGTCGGGGCCACTCGTAATTGAATCGGATAGAGAATACGTCAAAGAGAAGACGACTGAACACCGGGGAGCTCACAGCAAATTTCACACATTGTGCGAGAGCGAGGCTGATCAATACGATGTCGAGAATCGACAACACGTACACTTCGTCATTGTGTTTCAGGTTCAGACATTGCAAATACTTTAACATCAAAGAACTAAGTGATATTTTCCTTATTGTTCAATTGTGAGATTCTATCTCCTTAATAGAGTAACATGAATAGTTCGAGGACGCACACGCGTATTAGTCGGAATTAGCGAAATACAGACTTAATCAGTCTGGAAAGTTATCTATAAGTGTAGATGAATGATTCGCGAATACATTTTGAAGGAAACGGCACTAGACTTGCCCTTTAGCGATTAAGTCCGGTACGTCCTCGACATACAAGAGATCAAACATTCTTAATTTGTTGTATAATAAATGGGAAGTAAATATCGATATAGATGGTGGCACTGGATCCACACGGTAATACACTGCACACTATAAGATCGGGATATTATGGG